ATTATTTTTTTGAGTGTTACTAGCAAAACTTGAGATATAAGTAAATCATTAATCAAAACCTAAATGGTTAAACCTTTTCTTAAAATTATAACTCTATATGAACAAAGAACAGAATTATTATCAGTTTTAAGTTGATAAAATTTGCCAATGACCTCCTTAAAAAATGCAGGGTGTGTTATTATAAACATTGTGTGTGTGCGTATGAGCAATGCATGTAGTTAAGAGTAGTTGGAGTATGTATATAATTATATTAAAAATTCTTCTTCTCTTTTAAGTGTCAGAACGAGGTTCACTATTTACGTTTTGATACAAAATGTCTAATATTATTATTATTATTTCAACTACTCTGTATTTTGACCTTTTGTCAGCATTTGCACTTTTCTTAATAATGGTAACAAAACGAGACCGGTAGAGAGTAATAAAAGTGCTCTCTAACAGACTCTGCCGATACCAATTTTGTTCGTTTTGCATACATTTGAGATGTTACGTACATACATACATGGGAAGGAGATTTAGTTAGTTAGTTAAGTTAGTTAGTTAGTTAGTTAGTTAGTTAGTTAGTTAGTTAGTTAGTTAGTTAGTTAGTTAGTTAGTTAGTTAGTTAGTTAGTTAGTTAGTTAGTTAGTTAGTTAGTTAGTTAGTTAGTTAGTTAGTTAGTTAGTTAGTTAGTTAGTTAGTTAGTTAGTTAGTTAGTTAGTTAGTTAGTTAGTTAGTTAGTTAGTTAGTTAGTTAGTTAGTTAGTTAGTTAGTTAGTTAGTTAGTTAGTTAGTTAGTTAGTTAGTTAGTTAGTTAGTTAGTTAGTTAGTTAGTTAGTTAGTTAGTTAGTTAGTTAGTTAGTTAGTTAGTTAGTTAGTTAGTTAGTTAGTTAGTTAGTTAGTTAGTTAGTTAGTTAGTTAGTCAGTTATAGGACCTGTTGTGTGCTCCTTAACCAGTGCCTCAGTTAGGAATCGAACCTCCGGCCTACCATACTAGAACACTAACCTACCGCAGGCCACGGGAAGGCGAGAGGTCAAGAGCCCCCCGAAAAGAGCTCTAAAATGTGAAATTTATGTAAAACTTTATACAATTCGAGAAAAACCCTCGTAACCCTCGTTTGTGCTTGTATGTTTGTGGGCAATTTACTTTCAATGTTTATTTTTTAGTTTTAAACTTGGGAGATTTATTAAAAGTTTTTAAGCCTTTCATTTACCTTACATCCTTTCTTAACTTCCCTGCCTTTCCCTCACTTAAAGAGCATAATATTTATTAAATTTATTAAAGGAATAAACAAAACAACCAAAACTATTTCCTGGCTGTAGATTCTTTCCTCTTTATCAATAGGTATAAAATGTAATCACTTTAAAACGAGAACTACTTTATATTCAGTGAAAAGGAAAACATAAGGTTTCTTAACTTGTGTTCGTAGCTAAAAGGGTTTCCTTTTGGGAGTGGAAAACATAGAAATTTGTCAATAGTTAAGAAAAACTTGTTTATAGTAAGAAAAGAAAATTAACTTAAAGGATTATACCACTGAATCTTAAAATTTTCTTTTAAATAATTTAACGAAAATAAGTAGTTTGCTAATGGATGCCTTATTTGCTAAAGTGATTAACTTTACTTTTGGAGTTTTAGTTATTTTAAGGTTAAATCACCTATTAGGACTCTAAATTTACATATTCAAAGGAAATTGGATTCAAAATACCTTTATGGTTAAAAATACAAACCTAATTTGCAAAAGTGATTAACTTTAATTTTCGAATTTTTCATGATAAATCAATCCCTATCTTCTTACAAGATTTTGCAACATAATATTTTATAAAGCAAATCCACTAACTATCAAATATGTATTTTAATAATTTCCACACTTAACCCACACATTTTATACATTATTATCATAGTCGTCAACAAATAAAAAGGGTTTAACAACTAATTTGTTATGAAAATATGCCAAAAAAAAAACTTTTCAAAAGCCGACAACTATTTAAATTATTAATGGTAATTAATGAAGAATTAATTAGTAACAACCTAAATTCCAAGAAAATGTTTACATTACATTAGTTATTAACAAAACGCAGGAAAACCATAAAAAATGTTTTATTTACACAAAAATGTTTTCATTAAGTTGAGGTTAAGTATGTGGGGTTTTGAAATTTATATTTATGTACTTATGTAGAGTAAAAGTTTTGAAGAATTTATTAAATGTTATTAAATCCCTTAGTGTAGTTGAGGGTATTAGAGTTTAATAAACTATGCTGCTTAAATTAAGCTTTTTAAAGTAAATTAATAAATAATGTCTAATGGGAATTGTTTTTTTGAATAAAGGGAAAATATTTGGGAATCTTAAAATTTATTAGCTTTTTATGCTGGTAGAGCAATTGGATGAGCAGGAATATGGGATGTTGTTTTTTATGATTTCTTAAAACCAAAAAAAAAAGATCAGTGTCTCCCAGTTTTACACTTTTTATATGGGCCCCCCATTTAACTTTTCCAAAAAAAGGCTTATATCTTGCAAACCGTTTGGAATTTTGATTTACTTGCTAAGGCAAAATTGTAGCTCTTATCATAAAAAACTTCATCTTCAAGATCAAAATCGCAAAAAACTTAAAAAAATAGATTTTTTACTTTTTCCCCCAACTATACTACTATACGTTTACTTATTAAGTATACGTGTTAATAACAATAAATCATTAACACGTATACGTACAGGTGTCGTTAATAAAAGCAGTGCAATTTCACAATGTAAAACTTTTCACTTGAAATGGAAAAATGAAGATGAAGTTTTTTTGATTTTGTTATGTTCACATGACAAGAACTATAACTTCTTCTCAGAGAGTAAATCAAAATTCCGAGCAGTTTATAAGATATGATTCTGAGAAAAAAGATCGTGTTAGATCGATTTTTTGTTATGTTAATAATAACCGAAAATAATAGACATATATATTTAATAAATCTATATGAAAATGGCATTAACATCGAAGGCGCCTTTAATAACGTGCACACTGATACTCTTACACAATCCGTAGACCAGTTTTACATTGACCGAGTGCTCCGTAACTGGATCAACTACATGCTAAGGAACAAATGGATAAACTGCGAGATGTACGATATAACTATCAGGAAGAAGGTATTTTGTGGTATACCACAGGGTCGCATATTGTCACCTTTACTCTGGTTTATGCTATGCAGACGATGTTGTAATACTTTTAAAGGGAAAGGATCCAAATTAGTTGTGTAAAAGAGCTGAGGAGGCTCTGAATACGGCCTTGAGCTGGGCTCAACCGAGAGGCCTCAATATTAACCTGTATTTTCACAAGAAAGACAAAAATTTCTAGGTATACTGAACCTTGCTTCTTGGGCAAGAAGATACCGGTGATAGACAAAGTTAAGTACTTAGGTGTAATCCTTGACCGGAAATTAAAATGGAGACACCACATTGAGAATAGGATTAACAAGACACATCGGTGCTGGGCGATATGTATGAAAACTATAGGCATGAAATGGGGTCTTAGTCCTACTATGACAAATTGGCTTTATAAAAGTGTAATTAGACCAATTTTAGCTTATACTTCAAAAATCTGGTAGACTGCTTTGGACAAAAAGTACATGCTGCTTGGGTATAAGCGCTGCCATGTGTTCTACTTCAACCAAGACTCTGGAAACGTAGCTAGATATTCCATCCAATGAAACATATTTAAGATATGAGGCGGCGCTTACAGCCGAACGACTCTTTACTTTAGGCGAGCTATCCAAAAGCGGTTATAGGACACGTCATCAATGTATACTGGACACATTGGAAGGTTATACACAATCATCGGACGCATTGATAGCATACCAGACACAGAATGTGTGGGAAACATTAAAACACGGATCCCAGATAGAATGTCTTGGTCAAGCGGATCATTAGAACAAATACTTATAGAAATCCATTGATGGCTCTGAATTGGGCGACAAAGTGGACCTGTGGTGCTATATTGAAGACCCAGATATAGAAATATACCCCCGTTTACCTAATCATAACACAAGCTTCCAGTCAGAAGTCGAGCAATAAGGGAATGTGTAAATGGCCAGAAGGCAATTAGGATAGAATTAAATCTAAGACCGAATTGGATTGTAAGAAAGCTTAAACTGAATATTCTGCCAGAGGTGAGGTTTACATCATATGTGTACCAGGCCACTCGGGAGTAGTTGGCAACTAAAGGGCGAATGTAATAGCTTTAAAGGGAAGGGAGCTCGAAGTAGTTAACCTGACAACCATTCGACGCATCAAAAGCTGATTTAAAAATATGGGTGAGAAAATCCCGTAAGGCCTCTTGGAATAATGAAACGAGAAATCTCCCTAAAATGAGCAAGTCTGAAGTTAGTACGATAAGACGTATTCTGAGTGGACACACAGGATTATGAGCACATCTATACAAAATTGGACGTGCGGGTTCAGACGAATGTGGAACATGTGGAGAGGACGGTGAAACTCTGGTCCACTTTATTTGCCACTGTCAGGCATTTGTCGAAGATAGAGCCAAGTATATTGGAAGAGATGTTATTCCGGAAATAACATTACTGACTAACACTGATTGAAAGATTCTTAGGAATTACGTCCAGGAAACTGAGTTTCTGAACATTGTAAAATAATACATTCAGTGAAAAATTTTTTTTTCATGAAAAGGAGCGCACAACAGACCCGATAGTGGCCTAGGTTGTATTTCGAATTTGATGTAGTATACACCCTTCTTTCAACCTAACCTATTAAAAACTATCGTATCGAATTTTAGAATATGCCAGTCTTATAATAAATGAGCAATATGTTCCTTAATTAATTTTTATAATTTTTTACGTTCCTAAAGTAAAATTTATATAGGTTTTATGACTTTTCTTTTTTTACACAACATTATTTTATAAATTTAGTTAAGAGTTATACCTACATAAAAATAAACTTCTTTCTTTTTTCTCATTTCAAGCAACAATTTATTTCCTTTGATTTTTACTCAAATGTTTATTTTTCTCTGTTTTAAAAAATTTTACAGATACAACTTTTATCGGAAAATTTTGCATTACATTTTGCACCAGCCTTAGCTATAGATACAGCAGAATATATATGCCTAGTAAATGACCGTCATATACCAGAAGCAATTGTTGATTTACTGGTGCAAGGTAAGTTACAGCAGTCGGAAACATTTACACATACACTTACATACATACTATAAACTGAATACAACATACATGCCTATAACATCAAACTTTTATAGAAAATATTTAAAGTGCAGTGCAGTTGTTTTCTGTCTGTAAATATGTATCCTGTGTAACTAGTATTTGTTAGTAAAGTTTTTCAAGTTTTTTTTTTATATATTTTTTTTATTTTCTCAGATGTACCAGATCCACCTGAAAGACCACTACTGATAAGTTTTACATCACGTTCAGTTAACTTATCATGGGCCCATTCACAACATCCACGAAATGCCCCGGTAACGCATTTTATTATTGAAACTAGGTAAGTGTAAAGGCATGAAGAGAGCGAGGAATAATGTTAACGGATATACTAGTAAATTATAGAAATTGTTGCAGCAATATTACTTCTTTCATGTTAAGTTTATTTCGTATTGTAAATGTGTACTGTAGGCTTTTATTACTTGCTAGTTGCAGTTGAAAAGGAATTGTTAATGGGTATTGTAGACTATAAGTATGTCTACGTCTCTCTATATATTTTTTATCTCATTTTCAGTCATTGGTTATTCATGTAAAGTAATTGTTACTTTATCTGGGATTTAGTTGAAGTAAATGGGTATTGAAAAGAAAAGTTAAATTGTGTATAATAAAAATACTTTATTAAATAAACTAATTCTTTTTTTTGTGTAAGAGCGTTTTGTCATTTTGTTAAAATAGTTATTATAACCTCCATGACAAGAGACAACTTAAAGAAATTCCTAGTGAAAACTTACATTAGAAAGTAAAGCGTAATTAAAACTAATTTTCACTCATTGGCACATTACTTAAACACTGCTATATAATTAGATTCAAGTACTTATCATGCTTAATTATAAATAAGTACTTTAATAAGTTATTACATATAGGGAGTTAAAATGTTGTTTTGTTTTATGCAGAAACAAATTGTCAACACAGAACATCAACCTGAGTCCCATGTTCGTAAGAGAGCTGTCGTACTTACAACGCCACTGCCATAAATCGATTTTCGAATAATCGAACAATCGACTTTTTGTCGAAAAAAGTCGAAAAGCCGAAGTCGACTATTTTGTTCCAAAAAAAGTCGATAACTATCGTCTATGAAAAAAGTCGACTTTGTAAATAAAAGTCGAAAAGTCGTAAAAGTCGAAAAGTCGGAAAAAATTAAAAAAAGTCGAAAACTCGAAAATAGTAGAAAAAAGTCAAAAATAGTCGAGAATTTCAAAAAAGTGGAAAAAAACGTCAAAAACTCTAAGATAGTCGGAAATACTCAAAAAAAAAAGTCCAAAAATAGTCAAAAAAAAATCAAAAGAAGTCGAAAATAGTCAAAAAGTCGGAAAAAATCGAAAAGTCGGAAAAAGTCGAAAAAAGTCGGAAAGAGTAGAAAAGTCGACTATTTATAAAATACTAAAAGTCTAAAAGTCGACTTTTAATTAAATGAGAAAAGTCGAAAAGTCAAAAAATCGACTTTTCATAAAATGCAAAAAGTCAAAAAGTCGACTTTTCGTTTCAACTATAGAACCCTACTGCTTAGTTATTGTATAACACAATGGTTTTAGCACAGAAATACTGTTTTCAGTGTGTGAGTGGAAAAAACAGTCACAAGCGAACGATATGTACATATGTCGTTATTTGGGTACTTAAAAGTATGGTAGACGGTAGTAGTCATTGACAAGTTATTGTGTAAGTATAGCAATAATACCTAGGAAAAGCTTTTTATTACCAAGCAATTCGCTTACAAGTAATTATATAAATAAGTCAATGTAAATCGTATGAATGAAGTTACGGAGAAGATTACTAATGAATTATAAAGTGTTTATACAACACATTATTAATAAGACATAATTAGACTACTTTCTTTGTAATCATTAGAAAGTATGTTATTAGGTAATTGGTTACAATTGAAGTAGTCATTATTTAGTTTTTTGCTGGATATTAAGATATTTAACCTAAAATTTTACTTTAAATCAGTATTAGTTTTTATATCATTAACCAATTGCAAATGATTACATTCCTTAAAACATCTGTGTGCTATTTTCATTCATCACACTTTATATTTTTTGTAAAGGTGAAATGAGATGGCATTTTTACAATAAATTCATAGCACGTTTAAATGCTCATACAATGAATGAGAAATATACAACTTCGATTCGTAAGAAAAAGCTTTCGAAAAACAATGTTATAACCATAGAAACCAAAATAGGCATGTTTTTTGGTGTGAGTTGCATGGACCCATAAACAAGAATTTAAGAATTTTGACAGCAATTTTTTAGTGCATATTTTTGCATATTTTACCTATACAATCATATTTTGGCATGATTTGATTTTTATAATATAATTATGGTATACTTCGAAGATGTCTTGTTAAATCTAGATTCCCAGAGAATAAATTTTACATCTTTCATTTAAATATTTTGATCATATTGTAGTCGATGATCACATATTCAATATACGGTGTTCATTTAGTTTATAAATCTTCTTGATGAACTAAGATCATCTAGATAAAGCTCTGATATTTATAATAACAAAAATATCTTTTATTAGCTTCAAATTTCTAGAGTGTAAATTTTACACCTCTCCTGAGATGTCTGAGATTTTAAACTTTAGAATGAAATCAGTAAACATTACAGAAATTATTGATTAGTATACAGCCAGAATATTCTCTATTAATCTTTGTCCAAGGAAATGGAATACGTTAAGTAGTTAGTTCATTTTAGATCTTCCCTAAAAACTTGAGTAGAATGGGTCTTTAAAATTTCACTAGAAGTGAATAAATTCTCTTTAAATTTTTAAAAGAGATCGCAAACTACAGCAACAGACTTGTCTATTCACGGAATTATCAGTCAGTTTAGATACATATACGTTAGATTAAGTTGATAGGAGGGTATATACTACATCAAATCCGAAATACAACCTAGGCCACTATCGGGTCTGTAGTGCGCTCCTTTTCATTAAAAAAAAATTCACTAAATGTACTATTTTTCAATGTTCAGAAACTCAATTTCCTAAGAATTTTCCCATTAGTGTTAGTCAAGAATGTTATTTCCGGAATAATAACACTTCCAAGATATTTGGATCTAACTTCGACGAATGCCTGACAGTAGCAAAGAAAGTGCTCCAGAGTTTCACTGTCCTCTCCAAATGCTCTACATTCGTCTGAATCCGCACGTCCAATTTTGTATAGATGTACTCGTAATCCTGTGTGTCCACTCAGAATACGTACCATCATAGTAAGCTCGAACTTTCTCATTTTGAGGAGATTTCTCGTTTTGCTCTCATCAGGGTCATCCCATAGGATCTTTGTGGCTCTACCCATCGTTTTATTCCAAGAGGCCTTATGGGATTCTCTCACCCATATTTTTCATTCGGCTTTTGTTGCGTCGAGCTCCCTTCCCTTTAAAGCTATTACGATCGCCCTTTCAAGTGGCCTGGTACCCATATGATGTAAACCTAACCTCTAGGAGTTTAATTCAGTTAAAGCTTTCTTACAATCCAATACGGTCTTAGATTTAATTCTATCTCACCTGATATCGCCCTAATTACCTTCTGGCTGACGGTAAATATATTAAGCCCTGTGGGCTCCATATTTATTCTAATCCAATTTACGCATTCCGTTATTGCTCGTACTTCTGCCTCGAAGCTTGTGTAATGATTTGGTAAGCGGTGGTATATTATTGTTTCTGGGTCTTCAATATAGAACCCCAGGCCCACTTTGTCCCAATGTTCCACTTGACCAAGACATTCTATCTGGAATCAGCGTTTTAAAGATTCCCACATATTCTGTGTCTGGTATGCGATCAAGCACGTCCGATAATTGTGTATAACCTTCCAATGTGTCCAATATACATTGATGACGTGTCCTATAACGCTTTTGGTCAGTTCGCCTAAAGTAAAGAGCCGTTCGGCTGTAAGCTTCGCCTCATATCTTAAATATATTTCAATGGGTGGAATATCTAGCAACGTTTCCAGAACCTTGGAAACTTATACCCAAGCAGCATGAACTCCCTGTAGTAGTTTGATATAACACATTTTGTCCAAAGCAGTCCACCAGATTATTGAAGCATAAGCTAGAAATGGTCTAATTACACTTTTATAAAGCCAATTTGTTATAGTAGGACGTAAGACCCCATTAGATTCTACATACATACATATAGATTCTTAAATATTGGACATCTTTCAATGAAACTGATAATAATTTCACAACTAACTAGACTTAAATGAGTACTATGTGGTTAATCCGAAGAGAAGAGCTTAAATGTCTAATCAAACTTATTGCCCCATATGTGTTTAGGGAATGATACCACAATATCGGTTTTTATATAAGACCGTTATCAGTGTATTATGATGATTCAAAATAAGCAGCTGGGCGGATCGATGTTTAAGAAACTCATTAAGTCTAAAAGTATGTTTTGCTCCACACTGTGTACACATTAAACAAATAAGTATGTATTAATAGGGTGATGTTTATGATTGGTAAGAGTAATGAAAAGGAAATGTAAGGAACAAGCAGGAAAAACAATATTCACACACATACACACATACACTTAAACAAAAGCAAAAAAAAAAAACTTTTTAAGTGCTTAGTTGAAGGAAAAATTGTGACAACAAAGTTTAATGTGCCTCTTCTATATAAATACATACATATGTATGTATTTATGTATTTATTTCTATCGTTGTGTGTTTAAGTTTCAAATAAAAATAGAGGAGTATATGTGGGTGGGATTGTAAAGGTGTTTCTATGAATGCGTGCCACTAAATACCTGTTTAGTAGTAACGATGTACTCTCATTCGGAAGCATAGGAGGAATATTAAAGATTTTAAACCTAATAAAGTTTTTTCCAGTTTTTTTCTTCTTTGCTGCCATTAAAAATTTATTATCATATAAAAACAATTTTAAAAAATGTATATAAAATGAGAAGTAATTAAAAAAAAAACTGTGTATAGTACACTTACAAAATTAACTACATATTAAATAATTAAAAGAAAGAAACTTAAAGAAAACTTGTTGGTAAATAATATAAAATTGTTTAATGAAGTTGAGAGATATTTGATAAAACTAACAGGCATATGTAAGTTGTAAGTTTAAAAAACTTTTTTATAATAATTTTAAACTTAAATAAAAACATAAAAGTTAATTTTAACCTAAATTCTTAACTGAAATATTTAAGAGTTTATTTTTAAAGACCGGAATCATCTAGTTTTAAAGTTATAAATAAATTCTTAATATAAAGATGGTTTCAGTTGCACATCCTTTGAAAAAACCAAACATTATTATTGCTTTCATCGAACACATAGTATTTCTTTAACAAA